GGCTGCCACAGCATCGGGGAGCATTTTGCTGAGGAGCTGATCCAAGAAGCTTCTTCTCTCTCAACTCCCCCATGCTATGTCTGTGGCAGTCTTCCTCTCTCTGCTGGTTCTGAGCCTTTTCCACACCCTACACAATATGGGAAAACGCTTGAGAGGTGTTCTGTAACTGTCATACCAAGAGAGATATAAATGTGCCAGTGCTCTAAAAGCCCAGGGTCCTTCCTCTTTGCACTCATACACTGCAGAACACAGGCAGTTCTTCCATGGTGTGCAAATCAAATGGTGTCCACATCATGTAGTCTAGGTATGGTAGGGCTTTGTTTCCACCCCTGGGGCAGTGGATTCCCGGTGTATTAGACAGCCCTCAAAGTAAGAGCAAACTGTGGCCTGCACTCTGCTGCCAAAGGGATGGAGAAAAAATGCATTAGCTATCTCAATTAGCTATATCAATTAGCTATCTCAATTGCAGCGTACCACTTGGCTGCCTTTGATTCCAGTTCGTACTGGAGTTCTAGCACGTCTGGCACTGCAGCACTCAGCAGTGGCATGACTTTATTCAGGCCACGATAGTCCACTCACCATTAGACCTTCACACTGGCCATATGGGACTATGAAAGGGTGAGTGAATCTTGCTGATCATCCCGTGGCTCTCCAGTTGATGAATTAGCTTATGGATGAGAATGGGGGGTCTCGGTTGGTGCCATATTGCTGCCGGTGCACAGCTGTGGTGGCAATTGGCACCTGCTGTTCTTTGACGCTCAGCAACCCAACAGAAGGGTCCTCCCAGAGACTGGGCAACGTAGACAACTGTTTAGTGTCCTCTGTCTCTAAGGCAGCTATGCCAAAAGCCCACCGGTACCATTTTGGGTCCTTGAAATATCTTCTCCTGAGATAGTCTACGCCAAGGATGCATGGAGTATCCGGGCCTGTCACAATACGCTGCTTTTGCCACTTATTTCCAGTTAGACTCGCTTCATCCTCCAGTACAGTTAACTTCTGGGATCCCCCTGTCACCCCATAAATACAGATGGGTTCTGCCCCTATATAGTTTGACAGCATTACAGTACACTTCGTCCTCTGGAGGTTGTCAGGAATGTCCTGGCCCCCCCCCCAAAGGCCGCTGGGGCCTGTCAGGAACGTCCCTGTCCACCTCAGGACCCTTGGTGCCTGTCAGGAATGTCCCTGCTCCCCTCAGGGCCCTGCTGCAGTCTGGCCTGAGCCATCCATGAGGCGAGTGCAGCAGCAGGGGGAAGGCTGGGCAGCACAGGGCTGGGGCACAAAAGCTGCCCCCCGAGGCCTTGCTAAGCCTGCAGCCAGGGCCCAGCCGCTCAGGGCAGGGCAGGTGGCTGTCACCACCAGTCCTGGCCACAGTCCCTGCTGCCAGGGACCCTTGCTGCCACCATCCCCTTGGAAATGTGGCATGGGATGGATTTTCTGCTTTGGCTGGATGATATCAGTTGGTACCTTCGCTGCTGTGTGGAAGAGAAATGTCTCAACCACTTCTTTGGCAACGAGATGGTGCCCGATGTGATTGTCCTGCCACCAGCCTTCCAGTTGTCTGGCCCGGTCAACCTCTTCCAGCATCTGAAGCGCGACCCATATGCCAAAGCTGCAGAAGTTCGAGGTGGTGCGAGATCAGCTGAAAAGACTGCTGATCTACGGACATGACAGAGACCTTCATGTACAGCGAGAGTGCTCTGCTGGTGGCAGATGATGACCTGCTAGCACCCTGTGGGGAACTGGACCCCATGCAGCTCCAGAGGCTGCTTCATGGACGCTTGACGCAGAGACTCCTCATAGCAAGTGGGCTTGATTCTTGGCCTGTCCATTTCACTGGGAGCTTGGCCTCTGCAAAGATTCCAATAAATGTCTTGCTTGAACAAACTCTTTGTCTGTGAGTGTCCTCCTCAAGCCACTGGGGCCTGTCAGGAACGTTCCTCGTCCCTTCAGAGCCGTTGGGGCCTGTCAGGAACGTTCCTCGTCCCTTCAGAGCCGTTGGGGCCTGTCAGGAACTTTCTGGCACTGCTCAGGACTGTTGGGGCCATTGCTCCCCCCTGTCCCTCTGTTGGGACCGCTACTCCCCCCATCAGGGCTGCTCCCCCAGCTCCTCTCCAGCACTGGCATCCCCCAGTGTCACTGCCTGGCCCTGGGTGGCAGTGCCTCAGCTCTTGCCAGGGAGTTTTCAGGATCAATCTGTGTTAACCAAGCAACAGAAAGAGCTGGAGGTCTGGATGAGAGACAAGAACTGGTACTGGCCAGATTTATGAAGACAATAATGCAGTCTGCACAGCCCTCTGCACCCCAACAATTAGCACCATGAATTTAGACTTTGCCAGTCATCGGCATCAAAGCACGTTTAGTACAGCAGTTGGCTTCCGCTCCAAGGGGTTTCAGCCAACCTGGCCATTTCTTGCCAGTGTCCACGAGGGCTGTGACTTGGTGTAGTGGGTTTACGTGGCAAGGTTTTAGTAGCAGGGGGCCTTAGGGGTGGCTTCTGGGAGAAGGATCTAGAAGCTGCCCCATGTTTGGGAAGGGCCCTGTAATATACCATAAATGTTTGTCCATTGTCTTTTGTATTATAAGAACAAGGATTTGTGTTTGAGGAGCGGGAGTTTCGAAAGCTCCCTGCTGAAACAAGGAGCTGTGTAATACTTGGCTAGACACAATGAAATTCTTTTGCTTAATGTAACAAAAAGGAGAACCCCCTCCCCTTCCCTCTTTCTGCATCTCCGTTGCCTCTTTCCTTCAAAGACACTGTTGCAAAGCTCATGTAACCACCTCCTGATAAGTTGCTAGTGTATCAACAGCCTGCCTTCCTGTCTCATGCTGGGCCAACATGACCAGATGAAGAAAAGAAGTTGAACCACAGCACTGAGGAAGACTACGGCCTTCATCTTCACGACCACCAGAGGGACAGAGACGACCCCCTAGCAACAGTGTGCCCAGTCGTAGAATTTACCGGGATGTGCTGCGTAATCCCAGAATTAACAAGATATAAAAAGGGACCCTGGCGGGGGTGAGGTGCACGCCATTGGTGGAGCAGAGACTCTTCAGCCGCCCAGCGCTGCTTTGCCTGCTGTTGGCTTACTCAATAAATTCCTTTATATGATTAATACAATGCTCTCTGAAAAATAATTAAGGGGGCAACTTATAACAGGCCCCAGTGCTGACCAGAGGGGAGCCAACAACAATGTTGTTTTGCGCCTCTGTGAGAGCATATTTAAGACAGGGAAAAAAACGCTGCAATATATACAGCAGCTGGGAGAGTGAGAGGAGTGAGGAACAGCCTTGCAGGCGCCAGGGTCAGTGCAGAAGGAGGGGGAGAGGTGCTGCAGGCACCGGAGCAGAAGTCCCCTGCGGCCTGTGGTGAGGCCCATGGTGAAGCAGGCTGTCCCCCTGCAGCCCATGGAGTACCACGGTGGAGCAGGTGGCCCTGCACCGACGGAGCCTGTGGAAGACCCCTGCCGGAGCAGATTCCGGGCCGGACCTGTAGCCCGTGGAGAGGAGCCCACGCAGGAGCAGGTGATGGGGCAGGAGCTGCTGCCCGTGGGGGAGCCAGGTTGGAGCAGTTTGCTCCTGAGGGATGGACCCCATGGTAAGGACCCATATCTGGAGCAGCTCTGGAAGAGCGGCTGCCTGTGGGAAGCCCACGCCTGATCAGTTCATCAAGGACTGCATCCCGTGGGAGGGACCCCACAGCACAGGGGACGGGAGTGACCGAGAAGGAGCGGCAGAGAAGAAGTGCTGTAGACTGACCATAACCCCCATTCCCCCGTTGCCCTGTGCTGCTCGGGCGTGAGAGGAGGGAAGAGGGAAGAGGGTGGATGGAAATTCTGCGGTGTTTGTAATCAAGAAAAGGAATGGAAAATGGAGACTGTTGTATGGAAGATATGGGAGCATCAACCAGGATTACCAACTCCAACTATGCTCCCCCAGTCATAGACATTAATAGTAATAGACTTAAAGGATTGTTTGTTAAACACTTGCCAGAATTCGGAAAACTTAGATATGTTTATGCTTCGATTGATACCTTTTCTGGTTCTACATATCTGTAGGTATACTTGGGTTTCTTATGAATATGTAAAAACAATGTTCTATATATTTAGAAAGTTTGATGTTAGTGTGTGCATGTTGGTAGAGCGTAGACTGCCTGCACACTCAGCGCTGTTTACTTGCCTTTTATATATAGTACTAGATTCAGATTGATTTGTATCTTCATTTATAACAAGAGTGTGACCTCTGCATCCCCGTGGTCATCGTGGGCAATGCCATTGGACTCCCAGGGCATGGTTTGCCTCAGGTCCCATAAGTCCCCCCTTTAGACTCCACACAGCGCACCAGCAACAGACGGCTTTGTGGAGGGTCCTGAGCTATTCTCATTGCCCTGCTGGAGGACCAAAGACAGGCAGCAGTGCTTTAGCTCCAGAAGGAGCGCATTTGGAGCCCACGGAATCAGCTCCACAGCAAAATGCTTCCCAATGCTGTGGCACCTCATGCCTGCCTTTCCTGACCAAGTGTGGTACAGACACTCATGGACAAAATGTTTGTTTAAGCAAGCAATGTATTAGGGTTTTGGGGAGGCTGAGCTCCCGGAGTGAATGGACAATGTGCAAGAGCTAGATGGTCACTGTCCAGCTGGTAACAAAGCCTCTGCTTCAAGCAGCTGCATGGGGTGTGCCTCCCGCAAGGGTGGTTTTGCTGTGGAGAGACCACGGAGGAGCAATTCCCACTGCCAACTGAGCAGCATCTTCTCCATGTCCAGCATGCTCAGCTCTGCAGCACGTGGCAAGCAGTTGTGGTTGTAGCCACCGTAGTCATCAGTGGTTACTACGCTTGGTAGATTGTCCACACGAGGATCTTGCCACACTTGGCAGTGGGTTGCTGCACAGAGTTTTCCCGTCTTTTTCTGTGTCCTGCGTTCTCCCCTCTTCTTTCTGTGGTGGGAGGTCATTGCCAGCTGTCAGCAGAGTGCCCCAGAGAGCTCTGCATGAAGGCCTCTCTCAGTTCCCAAACGTCAACAGTCTTTTGAGCCGATCTCGCAGCTCCTGGAATTCACGCAGTGCCCGGGCATGGACATTTGGATCCTCTGCCATGTGCTGGAAGAGGTTGAGTGGGCTGGATGTTAGGAAATCTGGGTGCAAGGTGACCTTGTCAGGCACTTCCTTGTTCCCTAAGAAGAAGTGGTCCAGGCGTTTCTCCACTATGCAGCAGTGCAGGTAGTGCATGATGTCATCCATCCGCTGCAAAAACTCCCTCCTGCACCATCTTTCCAAAGGGATGATGTTCAGCAGGTGCATGACGACTGTCTTCAAGACATAGGTGGTAAAATCATTGCCCACCACGATACGGGCACAGAGCTGCATGCATCTGAGGTGGTAGCTGTCCTGCGGGGCATGCGCTTTTATGTACTGGAAGAATTTCATCTCTGCCACTGTGCAGCTCTGCGGCCATACTGTGTCCGGGGTAAAGATAGCATCAGTTTTCTCGCTGCTGAGAAAAATGTCTGAATCGCCTTGTTGCACTCCAAAAATGAACTCAACAAAGCGGATTTTATCGAAGACATCAAACACACGGAGCTTGCAGGAGCGTCTGGATGGCAGCACAGCAACGTGATGTCTGGCCGACTCAGGCAAAAATTTCCATGCTGCTTTCATCATCTGCTGGAACCAGAAGGAGGTTTTATGCACATCCAGGTAGGAGCCAGTGCACAGTGTCTGTAGGAGGTTGAGCTCCCGATTTCTTCTCAGCTCCTCCTCAGGTTGGTGGAGGAAGCACAGCACGTTCCCAAAGCTCTGCTCCCTCGCGCACGTGCACTCCAGCTCCACGCGAATACGAGAATTCTTTGATGGTAGCTCCTCTTCGTTGCCCAGCTCCAGGTGGAAGGAGTGCCCACGAGGAGCCGTTATGGGTATGAAAATGCGATAGACAATATTATACTCCTCCGAAGGAGTCCAGCCTTCAAAGGCACTGCCCACTCCAATGGGTGTATGCAGCACTGGAAAGTAAGTGTTCGACAGGGAACGTCGGGTGCTATAGAGGAGGTCTGCCACCATGGCCATCATCACTTGACAGTTGATTTGGAGGTGCTGCACTGGCCACTGGATTCTCTCTGCAAAAATCCTCCCTTCGTCCCTTTCTTCAAAACGATTTCTGTTATTATTCTGCTGGTCATCATCGCTGCTAGAGCTTTCTTCCTCCCTCCTGTTTACACGTCTTAGGAGATCTCTAAAGAGCAGCCACACGATCAAAATGTTCAGGAGAATAACACCAAGCCAGGCCCAGAACTGCCAAGTCTGCATCGCAGATAAGAGCAGGGCTCCCATATGCATCGAGCTCTGCTGCTTCTCTAGCGCCTCAATTTCCAACAGGAGCTGCGCCATGCGTTCTTGCATCTCCTCCGCATACTGACGCATGCGCTCATTTGTAGCTTCATCCAATTGATACCCGACTTCCTTTGGGAAGTTGACTAAGCCCAAAAACGCCAGGAAATAGAAAGCTGCCCCAACCATGGTCTGAAAGAGAGAGAATGACATCAGTGGGGCTGGGTGGGAGCTGGATGGTGGCTGAGGGAGCTGCGGCAGGAGCCTCAGGCCCCTGGGGTCAGGTAGGAGAGGGGGCGAGGGAGCTGGGAGGCAGCAGAGACTGTGGGAAATGCCAGCGGGGACAGCCACGAGCCCTGGCCCAACCCAGTCTTCCCCCTGCTGCTGCACTCACCGATGGCTCAGGCCAAAGTGAAGCAGCGCTGCCCGCGGCTGCCTTTAAAGCCTCCCCCCCATTGTGACACGTCCTCTGTGATGTCACCTGCGCCCACACCGCGTCACAGGACCCCTGCCCTGCCCTCGGTGCCCACCGTGCCTCAGCGACTGCCAGCTGCCCTGGGCAGCCCAGGCCCTGGTGTCACCCAAATGCAATGGCACATGGCTGGAAGGTGCTCCCTAGAATCCCTTTGCACGTCCCACAAATGGCACCCAAACAGGGACAAAACGAAAAAAGGAATGAATAGGGACAGGGTAGCAGAACAGGGACATTGATCACCTCGTGAAGATAGGTTTGATAGGTAAGCAGGCCTCTCACAGTTGTGACAGGGTTACCTGGGTAATATTTTCAGCTGCTGGAGGGATACTAACAGGAGTGTTAATAATTATATGTCTTATTCCTAATATGTCCAAGTATTTTGTGTTGAAAGTATTTGTGTGTGTTTGAAACAAAGTGGAACGAATCACTCCATGAAGAACACAGTGAGAGACAATACTTGTTGGGCTGGTTATCATTCTAAATTATGTGTTCTTGTGGAATATATTATATAACGCAGAGGCACGTGGCCAGATGGAGCTCCTCAGGCTCCGTTTGCACTGCCTGTGGAAGCCCCCAGGGTTATTCTCCAGAAGAAATTCATCTCTCAAAGCATTGGTTCAAGCAGGCAATGTATTGGCTTTTTTGCAGAGGTCAAAGCTCCCAGAGTGAATGGACATGCCCCAGGAGGCCGGGTGGTCACTGTCCTGCTGCTAAGACAAGTCTCTGCTTCAAGCCTCCCTGCAGCAGCCTCTTCAGCAGCATGGGATCTGCCTCCCTCAAGTGGGAGAGAGAAAACAAACAGGAGCAACTCCCGCTGCCAACTGAGCAGCAGCTTCTCTGTGTCCAGTGTACTCAGCTCTGCCGCACGTGGCAAACATTCATATTTGTAGCCACCGTAGTCATCACTGGCTCTGCAGTGGGCAGACCGTCCATATGAGGACCTTGCTGCACTTGACAGCAGTTTGCTGCACAGAGTTTTCCTATCTTTTTTCTTCGTCCTGAGTTCTCCCCTCTTCTTTCTGTGGTGGGAGGTCATTGCCTGCTGTCAGCAGAGTGCCATGGGGAGCTCTGTGCTTGAAGGACTCTTTCAGTTCCCAAAGGTCAGCATTCTTGTGAGCCGATCTTGCAGCTCACAGAACTCATGCAGCGCCTGGGAATAGTTAGTCCCATCCTTTGCTATGTGCCAGTAGAGGATGGGTGGTTTGGACATTTGTAAATCCGGAGGCAAGACGATCTCCTCAGGTATTCGTTCGTTTCCTAACCAGAAGTGCTCCAGGCACTTCTTCCTCAGGCACAAGTGCAGGTACTCCACGATGTCATCCATCCGCTGCAAAAACTCCCTCCTGTGCCATCTTTCCAAAGGGATGATGTTCTGCAGGTGCATGACGACTGTCTTCAAGACATAGGGGGTAAAATCATTGCCCACCACGATACAGGCACAGAGCTGCATGCATCTGAGGTGGAAACTGTCCTGCTGAGCATTCGCAGCTATGTGCCAGAAGAACTTCATCTCTGCCACTGCGCAGCTCTGTGGCCAGGTTGTGCATGGGGTTAGATGTTCTCTTTGTGTCTTGCACACAGCAGATTTTCCTTCTGTGTACAAAGGTTCCCAACACAATTTTATTTTGCTGCAAAATGATCACAATAACATTGTGCTGTGCTCTTTGCTTGTTCAGAGAGCTAAAGCTCATCAGGATTTTGGTACATGAAGGCAAAAGGTGAAATATGTTACTTGAATGAGATCTTCCATTTGAAATTTTTAATTGAGTACCACGGTGGAGCAGGGTTCCACACTGCAGCCTGTGGAGGAGACCACGGTGGAGCAGGTGGCCCTGCACCGACGGAGCCTGTGGAAGACCCCTGCCGGAGCAGATTCCGGGCCGGACCTGTAGCCCATGGAGAGGAGCCCACGCAGGAGCAGGTGATGGGGCAGGAGCTGCTGCCCGTGGGGGAGCCAGGTTGGAGCAGTTTGCTCCTGAGGGATGGACCCTGTGGTACGGACCCATATCTGGAGCAGCTCTGGAAGAGCGGCTGCCTGTGGGAAGCTCACGCCGGATCAGTTCATCAAGGACTGCATCCCGTGGGAGGGACCCCACAGCACAGGGGACGGGAGTGACCGAGAAGGAGCGGCAGAGAAGAAGTGCTGTAGACTGACCATAACCCCCATTCCCCCGTTGCCCTGTGCTGCTTGGGGGGAGGAGAGGGAAGAGGGTGGATGGGGGGGGAAGGTGCGTTTGGTTTCTTTCCTTTGTTTCTCACTTCTCTAGCTTGTTAGTAATTGGCAATAAATCTTACTATCTCCTTATGCCGAGTCTGTTTTGCCCGTTACAATAATTACTGAGCGATTTTCTCGTCCTTATCTCAACCTTTGAGCCCTTTTCACATATTTTCTCCCCATTCCTCTTTGAGGAGAGGGAGTAAGAGAACAGCTGTGGTGGAGCTCGGCTGCCCACTCAAGCGGAACCACGACAGAATGTATCCATGATGTTCTCATTTAGATGTCTGCATTAAGTCATTAAGCACCCTTGCCTTTTCCTCATCTTTTGTACCTAAGTTCCCCCCGACATCCAGTAAAGGTTGGAGATTGTCCTTAATCCTCTCCTTATCTCCCGCTCACACTCCCTGATATCCCTCAACCTTTCGACCTCCTCCTTGAGTTCTGCCACGAGGCGGACCAGGTCATCCACCTGCTCACACCTCACACACACAGTCTCTCTGCCCCCCGCAGGTGGTAGCAACAGGCTCAGGCACTCCCTGCACCCGGAGACCTGAGCTGCCGCATTTTGGAGTGGGCACTCAGTCTGGGTGTGTACAGACTTCCTAGCGAGAGCCCTCTGCCTGCTGTACACCATTGCGGCCTCGCAAGAGTAGTCAGCTTGATGGGTGGGTGCCCTGCCTTGGTGACAGCCCAGTGCTGCAGCTGTGTTGATGCTGCATGGCACCCATGTACAGGGCCGTAGCACAGCTGTCCAGCACTGTTGTCTCTCCAAGAGAGAAGGACGAGGGAGGGCTAATTGTTGTCTTCTGCTACCCAGAAAATGTCTTTTCTCAGAGGTGCACAGTGAGAGAATGAGAGGCAAAATGTTGCACCAAGGGAAATAGGCCATGAGAGCAGATGAGCTCTGGAAGAGGTGACAATAGAGGCTGGGGAATCTCCATCCTTGGCAACACTAAGAGTTCGTCTGGACAATACACTGAGCAACATGACTATACTTTGATGGTAGCCTTGCTTTGACTAGGGGCTGAACTAGAGACCTCCAGAGGTCTTTTCCAAACCAAATTCGCTATGATTCTCTGACTGACAATGAGGCTCCAATGGCCTTGGTGACCTTGTGGTGCAGGTGAAAAACCTTGTGGTGCAGGTGTTAACATTGCTCTGCAGGCCTTCATGTGGAGCTTCCAGTACTGAAAGCACTGCCAAAAGACCTCTGGAGGAGTACTCCTTATGGCGAGAGAGTCTTTTCTTTGAAGATGAAAGCACAGATAAGCATGCAGAAAACTCTGTCACGTGAATAATGTATATGACAAACAGTGAGCCAGGCCCCCAAAATGAGCTATTAGTGATGGCATATATGTCACCCCCAAAAGAAGAGGTCCTATTTGCAGTTGCCCATCACTGTCACCAGGAGTCACCCCACAGCTGGGCAGTTTCCCATGCTGGACTGCTTGGCACAGCAGCCCTTAGCTCCTGCGTACTACACTCAGTAGACAGCTCAGTGACTAGAGCTTTTAGCTCAGTGACAGCCAGTGCAAAGGCAAGTGGCCAGCTGCAGCATTTTCTTCACTCGTGGAAATCAGCCCATTTCCTTGACAGCTGATAGTTATCCACAGGAATTTGGCTTTGCAGGTCCTAAATAGCAAACTAGGAAGTCTGAAGATCTCTGTTGAAGAAAGCTTTAGAATAAGTGTATAATAGCCTGGCATAAGATCACAGAATAATAAACAAAATGACTCACATGAGGAGACTGAATGTTCTGTCCACAGTTATGAGTAACAGATATTTATAGGAGAACTGTAAGAAAGTGTAAAAATGAGTGTCATCTAATAGTCTAATCTAATAGTCCCAAGCACAACAGGAAGTACAACCACAATCACATGGCAAGTCATTTCCATGGCAACTGATAACATTTTCCATTAACCTGGAGTTAAATTTCAGGCTATAATGGGCCTAAGGACAGAGAATGCACAAGGATGCAGCAAGATAGCTAATGCCATATGTAGAAAAGTGATATGTTTGTACTGTGGGTATGATGGGGGCAGGAGGGAGTGAGAGCAGGACTGGAATAAGGAAGCCTTGTCCCAGCGCACTGTCACGGACGGGAAATGCTCCCTGCCCTCCATTACCCCTGGATCTCACTGCGTGGATTTCCCTGCAATGGTCTTGGTAAGTAATGCAGATGTGAGAAGTTGCATCACTGCTCTTTCCCTGGTCCCATAACTGCGTCATTGGTCTGTCCTGGCTTTGGAACAAAAGGCATTAACTACCTTACCAGACATGCTGCCTCCATGATTACCAGGGCCCTGGCCAGCCCCTCTGGGGCTTCCTCTCACCCTGCCCATGGCCCAGGAGCCCATTTCAGCCTAACCCCATTTCAATTCAACCCATGGCTGTCAGTCCCTGCCCCAGCAATGCTGCAGGTTGTCAGACTTCAGCTCCCTGCAGCCCTGCTGAGCCAGGTCCACTGGCAGGCCAGTGTCGCAGCCCATCCTTGGTCTCTCCCTTTCTCCATGGCCCTGTCTGACTGTCCCTGGACATGACTCTGGGCTGTAGATTGACCTCCTGACTTGAATTCATCCTGTCTTGTCACTGTGAACCTGCTTTACAATCTGCAGGCATGGCTGAACCCATCAAGGATCTCCACAGCTCCCCTGCTCCCTGGCTGGGAGCGGTGGGATGGCTGTTAGCACACTCAGCTCCCAGCTCCCACTCCCAGCTCCCAGTCCCTCAGGGAGCTGCTGGCCCTCACTGCACCCTGGAACAAGTGTCCATGGTACCTTAATACCTAGGTTCTTCTGCAGGTCTTTGTCAGGAAGCTACACCCAAGCCATACACAGCCTTTGCATCCTAATCCTGGCCCAATGACTTGATCTCCCAGTGCACAGGGATAATGGTAGCTTCTTCATCAGACAGACTGTCTCCATTTACCTTCCCAGCTATCTAGCAAGGTTATTACTCAGCTTATGAGACAGGCGTGAGGTGCCAGCATCAGCCCTTGGCTGAAGGATTGCCCCTTTCTTTCTCCCTCAAAGCTCTTTATACCTGAAAATCACAGCTGTGAGCAGGTACCATGCTTTCCCTCCCTTTTTCCCTCTGTAAGTTTCCACCCAAGCATGAACAAGATGTTGTGTGATGGGACGCTCCTCTCACGTCAGGACAATCTGTAGTGACTATTAAAGAATCACAGGCAGGTATGAAGAAACAAAGTTGATGTTCCAGAATTCCCCGCTCCAGATCTAGAGGAAAACAAATGTCACCAGTCTTTGGAATACTTTCTTGAGGTCAGGGGCTTTTGGGGATGCATGAACAAATAGTAAACCTCCTGTTTCAGGGATGGGGTTACAAGGAAAGCCATCTTATTATATATAGTCTTCAAAAAGAGCATGAGAAAGACATGGTTTCCTGTCACCTTCCTTACTCACCCTGCTTAAACAACTGCAACTGAATTCAATGTCAAAATTCTCAGCACCTTCCATGAGTCTCATGTTTTTCCTTCTGTTTTCTCTTCAGATATACTGAGGAAAGAATCCCTCTGTGTTAGCTGCATGTCTGTAGACAAGGAAATAATGCATTTGCACATGCAAAGGGTGTTTGTTTAATCTAACAGCTGGGAGTCTGAAAGGTAAAGCCACAGGTGCCCTTATTTGTTTAGAATTAGTTGAGATCAGAGGAAGAAACACACCTTCACCACTGTAGTTTCAAAAGAAGTGAAAGGAAATGTGACATATCCTGTTCCTACAAACCCTTTTCCAGTAACTTTAGAGAAAATCTTTACACTTTTGAGGTTTTGCAAAGCTATTTACCTTCCTTCATAGTTTTCCTGTTTTCCTCTGCGGTAAAACAGATTTATGTGTGAAAGGACAACTTGCACTTGACAGAGTGGAGCCATCTGCCATTTCTTGATAACACCAGCTCTGCCAAGCTAATCTCAGAGTCTCTGCATTTGCTTCTATTTTCAAACTTGGTAAGAACACAAGGGCTTGAAGAGCAGAATAGACGGCACATTTAAATGCTTTGTCAAAGGCTGGTTTGTTATAGTGTTTTCTTATGATTAAAATCAGACATCTGTTGAACTAACAGAAATTGTGCACAAAGCAAATGAAAATGATGGAAAATCTAAGGTCAAGCAAATGAACATGAGCGTCTATGAATGGCCACGGTACAGCCAAGCTCAGATCTGTCTGGTGTATGTTCCAAAGTGAGAATGTTCATTCAAGGACTCTGCTCTCCCATTCTACAAATTCCTCTCAACTACAACAAACCTCTCATTGAAGATGATTGGAACAAGCTCTGACACATACACAGGTGAGTTTCCAACAAATGGGAACCATTCTTCTGAAATCAGTAGAGGCTACATCACTGTAGGTAGCAAGCAGTGGTATGGCCAAGTATTTCTTCCTGAGAAACTAACTCTGTCTTTCACAATGTTCTCTTGACCACAACTCATAATTCTTAAACAAGAGACAGAAGGCCATCTGGGGGACCTTGGTCTGAGAAACCCCATAAGAGAAGACTTAAAGCATTTAAACAGCACACAGAGGCTCCCTTTCAGGTGGACTGCAGTAGACCCCAACCACAAGGTGTCATTTACTCGTCTGATTTGTAACTTTCACCCACAAGCTCTCAGCCTGTCTGTAGGTATTTCTCAGAGGAATCTCTTCACAATCAGTCTATTCCCCAACATATCTCTTCTGAAAACCTTGTAGCCCCCTATTCCAGTGTTCAAGTTGTGTGATTTGTCCCACATTTCTGGGATAGTAATGAGGTTTTCTAATTGTACTGTGATGTCCAGCTCCTCTCGCTTGTTTGCATTGATGTCTGTTGGTATAGAGGCACTTTAGCTGGTCTCATCACTTTGTGGCTTTCTTGTATTATCACAAATGTAGACCCCAGTCAGGAAGCAAACTTCTCTGAAGAGATTTCTGAGTGGCAAATTGGTGCCTCAGTGCCCCTCAGCAGGGAGTCTCCCATTACTAACACCCTTTGTACCTTTTTTGTGGCACTGGTTCTGATGCAGGTGTTCGACTAGGCCAACTTTTTATAGCTGCCCTTTCCTAACTCCTTACCGTTACTTACACTCTCCTGTTTTTCAGCCCAAAAGCATCATATCTGTTGTGTAAGGGCACTTCAGGGGCAAGGGCCCGGAGAGTGGTGGTGAATGGAGTTAAATCCAGCTGGTGACTGGTCATGAGTGCTGTTCCCCAGGGGTCGGTGTTGGGGCCCATCCTCTTTAGTATCTTTATTAATGATTTGGATGAAGGAATTGAGTGAACCCTCAGTAAGTTTGCAGATGACACAAAGTTGGGGGGAAGTGTTGATCTACTGGAGGGTACAAAGGCCCTGCAGAGGGTCCTGGACATGTTGGATCAATAGGCAGAGGCCACTGGATGAGGTTCAATATGGCTAAGTGCTGGATCCTGCACTTTGGTCACAACAACTCCATGCAACACTACAGGCTTAGGGGAGAGTGATTTGAAAGCTGTGCAGAGGAAAAGGACCTGAGGGTGCTGGTTGATGCTCACCTGAACATGAGCCAGCAGTCTGCCCTGGTGGCCAAGAAGGCAAACAGCATCCTGGCTTGTATCAGGGATAGTGCAGCCAGCAGGACCAGGGAGGTGATCATCCCCCTGTCCTCTGCTCTGGTGAGGCTGCACCTCGAGTGCTGTGTTCAGCTTTGGGCCCCTCACTACAATAAGGACATGGAGGTGCTCGAGAGGGTCCAGAGAAGGGCAACGAAGATGGTGAGGGGTCTGGAGAACAAGTCCTGTGAGGAGCGGCTGAGGAAACTGGGGTTGTTTGGTCTGGTGAAGAGGAGGCTCAGGGGAGACCTCATTGCTTTCTGCAACTACCTGAAAGGAAGGTGTGGGGAGCTGGAGGTTGGCCTCTTCTCACAGGTAGCTGGTGATAGGACCAGAGGGAATGGACTCAAGTTGTGCCAGGGGAGGCTGAGGTGGGAAATGAGGAGACATTTCTGCTCAGAGAGCAGGTAGGCATTGGGATGGGTTGCCCAGGGAGGTGGTGGAGTCACCGTCCCTGGGGGTGTTCAAGGGAAGGTTGGGCCTGGTGCTTGGGGACAGGGTTTAGGGGTGACATTGGTGGTAGGGGGGTGGTTGAACCAGATGATCCTGGAGGGCTTTTCCAAACTAATGATTCTCTGAAGGGGCTTGTTTGGGTGTAGGCATCTGTCGGGGAAGTTGTGGCCCCTCCGTTTGGGTTTCAGCCTCAGCCCGGCAGGGCAGGCAGGCGCCATTTTCATTTCAGTCAGAGGCTCCCGGAACAGAAGACGGTGACCGGCAACGCACTTCCCACTCTCCCTGAAGCAGCTGCCATGAAAGCCGCCTGCCTGACACGCTCTGCTTTTGTACGGGAGGGGGGGAGGCAGCTGCTGCTGGCCTGGCCCCAGCCTTGTCAGCTGCTCCCAGGGGGCTGCCGGCAGCTCCCTCCACCCCCTGGGATTGCCTTGCTGCAGGAGCCGCCCCGCGCGCCGCCATCTCCTGCTGTGCTGTGCAACGCGCCTGCCCCGCAGCTGGTCGCCTCGGCAGGTCTTTTCCCCTGAGCTGCTCTGCAGTTCATCAGTCTGTATCCTTGCAAGGGGTTCCACTTGCCTAGGGGAGTGCCTCTGCGTTGGTCCTTGCTGCTTTTCATCATTTCGCTGTTGGCCCATTCCCCCCAAGCCTCGGCTGGTCCTTCCAGGAGGCAGTGCTGCCCTCAAGCACAGTGCCTGGTCCTCCCCATTTGCTCTCTGCAGGTCTGTGTGACCTTGCCCTGGGCTGCAAGCGGGTGAGTGGGTCCCAGGAGATTTGCCCCTGAACACAGAGCAAGAAGGGGCTTCTGGGGTCAACGGGGCTTGCCCTGGGGTCCAGTTCTAGGAGTTAGTGGGAGGCAGAGGAAGGGAAGCACTGTTTTTCCAAGCAAGCTCCTCTATGGGCCCATTGCAGGCTGTCCTCACCTGTCCCCAGAGCCTCTGGTGAATGCTTCTTGAGCAGGAGGAGATGGCCACCCGCCAGCTCCTCACATCCTGACCCATTTTTCCTGAGAATTCAGCAAGGCAGAGTTTCACAGACAAGAGGAAATCCCTAAACAGCACACAGCCCAGAGTGGAAAGTTGGTGGTGTGTTTTTTTTTTTTTTGTTGTTGTTGTTGTATTTTGTTTTGCTTTGTATATTAGTGTTTTTTTTTTTTCTGTTTGTTTTTTGTTTTTTGTTTTTTTTCCTAACTTCCCCATGAATGTATTTGACAAATCACTGTCCCCATCAGCTCAGGATCCCAGCGGAAACCCCAGCTGGGAGGGCTCTTCCTGCCTGGGGGAGGCTCCCCTGGAGCGCCAGGGATTTACTAATCGCCACCTTTCGCTCCCCATCCCTTGCCGTGTCCCGCCAAGGGCCATGTGCAGTGGCAATCTGCAGACAGGTCTGCTGGTGGCCGGCTACTTCGTCTACTTGCTGGTGGGTGCAGCCGTGTTCCAGGCGCTGGAGAGGACCGCTGAAAAGCAGCAGAAAATGGCAGCCGCCCAGATGAAGGAGGCATTTCTGCAGAACTTCCCCCACCTCACAGTGGCAGAGATGGAGCAGTTTATGAAGGTGAGTGCCAGCCCCGCAGAAGCCCTTTCTCCCATCAGATGGTAAAACAAATGGGTGGGAAATAACAACTGATTTCCCTGACAGATGTTATTTCCTACTCAGCCTTGCTACACAGATAACTTTCTCTGTGTTTCCTACTGGTGCCATCATTTGGATGATTTTTTCAAACCCCAAACCTATTCCCCAGTTTGAGGAGGCAGATCTTGCTGATGGTAAATATAGTTTGTGTGGCGTGACAAAACATTGTGTGTTAGCTGTTAACATCCCCTGCTTACAATGGCCCCATTCTTCGGGTTCTTGCCTCCTGCCGATGCAGCTTTCAGTGGGGCTATGCTCATCTACAGTGGGTGGCATGGCAGGAAAAATGAGGCTGTCTGAAATTACTGGGAACGGTTGCCACACACAGCAGTGCCACAGACAGCACAAAGGAACAATACATCGAGGTCTGAAATAATCTGCTGGGAAAAAAAAAAAAAAAAAAAAGAAAAAAAAAAAAAAAAAAAAAAAAAGGAGAGAGAGAGAGAGAAGCTCAAATCACTGAAGGAGTGTGATATAGTCAGGGTTTATTTCTTGAAGATGCTGCAGAAGTTAGGCAGGCAGCCCAGCCAAGGGAAATGAGTTTCTGGTCATGACATGGGAAGCTGATAGTGACTGGTGTTCTCTATCCGTTTTAGGTATTTTCTAGCTATAGATGCTACATTGCAGAGAAGATGGGGACTGCAAATAGCCTTGTAAGCATATCTGCATGGGAAAGTAATAGAGCACTTAACGGCCCCATTTTCAGGATAAGGAGACAAGGGGGAGAACCAGTTTTTCTCATAATGCAACCAGTGGACCAGCCCAGTTCACATATACATGAACCCTCTTCAATGTGGATTTTTTTTAATTATTTTTTGAGGGGGAAAAAGGGGGAAAGAGAAGAAAAAAAAGGGAACTTCTTCAAGACAATGAAATCCTTGTACAAGGGCTATGAAAAGATTTATGCTAGTATTATTTAGGCTGGTTTCTTTCCGTTAGTGCCTTGCCTCTGCTAGGGCTCAGCTTTGGATTTTATGTCAGCTCCTTCTGTAGAAACCAGCTTGCATTCCAGATGTCCAATTGAATGTCCTCTGCTAAAACCAGGGCTGGCTGAATACTGGTGTTGTTTTATTTTTTGCTTTTCTTTTTGTTGTTGTTTGCTTCTTTTTATATGCTTAAAAAAAATCAGCATCACTTAGAATTAAAACCATTGAAAAAGGAAGGAGTCCGATAGTGCACAGAACTATAGATGATACAGGGCTGAAAGATCTTGGGAGAAACACCTAGTCAACGCCCTGCCCTGAGGCAGTCTCAACTCAGCCCTAACCACCTCTAACAGATGTTCATCTAACCTCATCTCAAAGGCTGCATTGTAAAAATTGTGCATGCAGTTCATGCATGCAGTTTGTAGAAAGGTGTACATATCATGCTGGATTCTGATTGTGATTGCACCACAATTGATGCTTTGCAAACCAATGACTTTTCTCTGGATTTAAATTTTTACTGTAATGGGACTATGGCCTTAAAATTACATTTCATGTACGTGTCATGTGCCGTGCTGTAACTCACTGATGCCTTACAGGGGGCATCAGAGTCAATGCTCAGTGTGCCTGCATACAGATGGGTGATTACATCCTGGTTCCACTGCTGCCATCTCAAGGGAAAGCTCAAAACCAGCAAGCAGGCACCCCATCGCTTTAACCAGTGGGCTGCCTCGTTCTGCCATGTCCTAGCCTTCTGTAGGATTTTATTTCTCCGAAGTACTTAACTTGAAAGAATCAAGGACTTTAGAGGTGAACTTCACACTGAAGCAGACAAGTTGTCCTAACACCCATGAGAGCACTTAGCATAACAATAGGGTGAAAGACTAACCTTCAAAAACACTGGCTGACTGCCAGCTAACCTTGGTGGTAAAGGTGTGAACGGTGTTAAAGTATTGCCGAGGACAGGTGTGTGCTGTTCACAGGAACGGATCAGGAGCTGGCTAAATCCGTACTATTCTTTCAGCAAAAACTTGAGAAAAGCAGACAAGTTGATTAAAAATAATAATAATAATAATAAAAATGCTTTCCCTTCCAGAACCTGACTGAAGCCATTCAGAATGGAGTATACCCTGTTGGAAATGAATCACAGACAGAAAACAGCAACTGGGATTTCAGTAACTCCTTCTTCTTTGCAGGCACAGTGGTCTCCACAATAGGTAGGCTTTATGCTTTCCATGTTTATGAATGTGTGTGTTCGTGTGTGTGACACTTCTATCTGGTTATTAGGAAGAAAACAAATAATACTTTCAAGGATAGAAAATCCAACCCTTTATTGGCATGGATGGGAAGCAGCAACCAATATAGTTCTGAGACCTCACCAGCACACAACTTTTTTTGCATTATTTTGGGTTTTGAAATACCAATGGCCTTTCACACTATTGTTTCTCATTTGTTTCTTCTTTTTGAGCCATCTTGTAAAATCTTGGCTCTGATGTCAACTGTGGGTAGAAGATAGATTTGACTTTCCTGATCTTTATTCTAGGGTCAAACAGGCTTTAAATCTGAGAGTGCTGTAAGAATGGTAGGAAATAAGTGAGCTCTGCTGGGGATTGGACACCATCTCAACAACCTCTGATGAGCTCTAAGCACATGTATTGGATTAGCAATACACCAGGGGGAAGAAATGGGAAGGGGGCAAGGCAAATGTTGAGACTTTCAGAGCCAGCCCATTCCTTGCCGCCACCAGTATTGTAGTTTTTTCATTATGGTATTTCTCCACCCAACAAATTGGTTGCATTGAATTTTTTTCCCTGGTGAGGAGGAAAGGTTGCCCCAGGAAAACTACAACTTGCCTGTTTCTCTGCACCCTTGCTGCAGAATTCTGTTAGTGAACAACTTCCACCCATCTTCATCAGATTTTGCTGTAATGAAAATGCAATAGTTGTGTGACAGGGAGCATAAGACAGCTCAAGCACCTAGGGGCCCAACAGTCAATAAATCACTCAGTTGTTTTATTTGTCTTTTCCCCAGAAGAAAACATTGCATTTTCCAAGTAATGGATGCCTTGAGATTAACTGTGCTAGGGAAAATGCATTTTCTCAGGGTCAATGATAAAATAAGGACATACACAAAGTACAGGCCTCTTGCACTTAAAGATATACCTCATGGGGTCTAAGAAGAGCAAAGTCTCCAGTCCATTAAAGGACATGTTTGGAGATCTGCAGCCATTATTCCACTACTTAGATAAATCCTCTTTTAATAGGATTTTAAGACAAATATATCTGTGGTATGAATAAATCAGCCACCAGTAAGGTCTGGGCTAATTAGCACAAGCTATTCTAATGCACCCTACACTGTCTCCAGGGCTAGAGCCAGTATCTGGACATACCAACCTACTGGCATTTAGCCACGGAGGTCGCTAACACATAGGTATATCAGCAAGAAGGCAGATTTTGTGATTGTGGCATGGCAAGCAGCCTGGGACTCCAGCTTTGACATCTTCCAGGTCCCCTGCTTTCTGGTTTCTGTCTTTCCATGTATTTGTCACAGGACAGAATTTGTTTTCCATAACTGCTTTCGGATTATTCTTTCTTTCCCATTAAGGCTAGGCTGGGAGCACACAGCACTCTCTGCATCCCCCAGAAAATGCAGGGTGAATCACTTCATCTGCTTTCTGGTTTGACCAGAGAAAAGTGTGCACACTTGGGCTGAAAAGTGCTAGCCACATCTTCTGGGGTCAAAGGCAAACCAGGCTGGGGTAGGTGTGAATGTGATGATGGATTGCTCCAGCTCTTTGAAATATCCCCCCGACCCATCTTTTTTTCATAGGCTATGGCACACTGCGTCCTAAAACTGCTGGGGGACAGATCTTCTGTGTCTTTTTTGCTCTCTTTGGAATCCCTCTGAATATTGTTTTTCTGCACCGTGTTGGTAAGATGCTCTCGCTGCTGTGTAAAAAGCTGGGGAAATTCCTGTACGAGAAAGGAATGAGAAAGGTAATTGGTTTTACTTTCTCAGGCACAGTTACATGCTAGTTTCTAGATTTATTTTTTTAAGATATACCTTGGCATTATCCTTTATTACTTTTGTTCTCATGCTGTGTTAGGCATTGTGTTAGAAAAGAGGAAGAAATGTTCTACCCCTGCAGAGCTAAACCAAGGCAATCATAGAGAAGGTATTCAGTGAAGGGGATAAATTTTGCCTATCCATATAAGCAAATATGCCTGTATGCCACACCATATATATTTGGCATATGCCTTTTATGCCAAAGCATTGGTGGTTCAGGCTGGGTGTTAGGAAAAGGTTCTTCACTGAGAGGGTGGTCAGGCACTGGAACAGGCTCCTCAGGGAAGTGGTCACAGCACCGAGTTCAAGAAGCATTTGGATAACACTCTCAGACACATGGTCTCATTTTTTGGGTAGTCCTAAGGGAACCCAGGAGTTGGATTTGATGATCCTTGTGGGTTCCTTCCAGCTCAGGATATTCTGTGTTTCTTTGATTCTATGGTTCTGTATAAATAAGATCTAGCCCACTTCAGCAGTCACTGGAGAGAGTGGGTGCCTCATCCCACTTCTCCAGATACTTATCCCAGGAACTAGCTCTAGGGAAGTACTTGTCTTTCTTTATTGCCAGTACCTCTGTAGATGATTAAGCACCCTATCTTTGGGGAAAGAGAGACAAGCTGTAAAGCTGTAAAAATGAGGTGAGCTGAAGGGGTTTCAGTACGTATTGACTCAATGCCTAGCACATCACCCCCCTGAATTCATTATGCATTCCTTTAATCCCTCCCCTCCCTTCACTTCGACAGAAAGGAAACTTCAGGCTCATTTGAACCCAGTTGCTGGAAGATGAAGAGGGACTTGTAAGGGGATAAAGACAGGATGTCTCTTGTCTGGTTATGCTCCAGGTTATTTGGAGCTCCTTTCATTCTCATCTTTTCTGAGGAAGTGAGAATAGCTTTTTTGTGTCTCCTACTGTAATTCTCTTTCAGGACAAGGTGTAAATGCTATAGACAACCCCAATCAAAATGTTAAATATCTCCTTATGTCTTAAGACTTAAATAGAACATGAGACTGACTCTAGAACAAGCACAATGCTTGAAGGCATGAAAATTATCCAGCAGTTGCCACTCATTACCAGACAACTTGGACTTGCAAAATTCTATACATAAACTATTTGTGTACCTGTTTGAGAAATTTTAATGTACAACTAGTCTTTTTTCTTCAGCCAAGCTTCTTCATAGCTGCTTGGTGGTAGGATGGTTCAAAAGTCACTGTCCAACTATTTCTTCATCAGGAGCTCATTTGTTAAGGATCTTCTTGTGCTCACTTATCCACTGGGTAGGAGTTAAGTTGTGGCACTATTGTAATGAGAAATAAAGTCAACAATCAAACTCTTGGAGACAACATTGTTTAAAATGATGTAAATTACTTTTTAGGTATCTATTTGCCTAAGCAATTTCGAATGTGCTTTGAGTGCCATACCTGAATACTTGAAAACTAAGTATAAGTGAAGCAGTTTGGTGAAAAATGGAAATAGCTTAATTCTGGTAAAGTAATTGTGAAAGTGCTTCCCCATACTCATGGTCACTGAATGTTGATAGAATCAGAAAAAAAGACCACATCTCCCAGGGTTACTGCAAACATGCAACACCCATATGTGTGGCTTTCCCCTGCCTCAGGTCAAGGCAAAGGTTTTTTGAGAGGGAAAACACTCAGTACAAAACCTTCATCACCCCAGTGATTACAGTATGTGTTCCTAGATAGCTACCCATTATATATGACCTGCTAGCATGTTGAATCATGATGATAATTGAATCGGTTTCTTTTTCAGAAGAAGATCAAATTTCTGACCCTTTTGTTCTTTTTGGTGACCGGGATCCTAGTGTTTCTGTGCTTGCCGTCACTCTTCTTCCAGATAACAGAGGGTTGGTCCTACAGTGAAGGAATTTACTTTGCATTTATCACCCTCAGCACCATTGGCTTTGGAGATTATGTAGTAGGTAAGGTTGATTTCAGAGAGGAGACGCAGCAAAGTGCCAGGGTTGCAACTGTAATTACTATGAGTTTACTGCACAGGCCACCAATGTGCCGCAGAGAAAAATCTTCCATCTGGGTCTTTGACCAGTCTTTGCCCTATACAGTTCTGGGGGAATATACTTTTCTCTCTGGGATTGCATGAGCTGATGAAAGCATGGGGTTGTCTAAATATAATGCAATGGGGTGCTTTGGGGTGCATTTTGGGGAAGGGAGGGGGAAAATTCAAGGAGCCTAGGAATTTGTATATACCAAAAGGGAATAGTTTGTGAATATGATACAGAGTAAGACACGTATTCCTGCTTTAGTTTAGACTTGTGTTTCTAAGCATACAGTAAAAAAATTAGTAGTCATGTTTCAGAAGACATGATTTTACACAAATCTAAGAGGTGGCAATCACAGTCCAGGGTGAAATGGGGAAATGTACTCATTCTGTGAGTAACGTGGCTTAAATACATACATGCATATCACTTCAAAAGTGGCCTTCTTTAGTCTCCTTATGCATGACTGGATGATCTCTTTTCACTAGTTGAAGCTTAGGAGTTCTCTGATGTTAAACTGTTTAAGCTACACTCTAGCAAGCTGAAGTGCTTCTCAAAAGACTTCTGACCAAAACACACTTTCCATGGAATCAGCTTCTAGAGCTGCTTCCAACTCCACAGTAAAAACCACGAGTCAAATCAGTGTCCATGGAAGAAGCAGCTGAACACATGGACTCCAAGGACACTCAAAGATTTCTCTACAACAACCTGTCCTGCTGGCATCTCACCAATACAAGATTTTCCTCAGCAGTGGTATGAGAAGGAAGCTCTGAGCTAATACTTGAGCATGTTTTACAGTAACAAAAGCAAATTACAACTTAAAAACAACTACTTCCATAATACTTCCTCCTCTGCAGCCGTGTTATTTTACAAACACAGCTAAAAGTTCAGAATTAGACAGGCCTCCTGGCTCTGGGATTTCATTTTCATCAGGGTGACTTAACAGGAGCTGCAGTATTTTTTCCTTCAGTATTTATCTCTTTTGGTGTTAAACAATGGTGATAAAATGAGAAGTTTAATGCCTCACACCTTCTCAACAAAACAAGCAGAGTCAATGTTCTGACTATTATGTATTTAGAATTGATTACAAATGACAAATGATTTTGTGCTAGCCAAGTGGAACAGAACAGGTCTGAGTTTATTTGCATTTTAGTAATTCAAACCTGTATTGCAGCGCTTGTACTTGAAGCATGAGATAAAGCCTGTTTTGTGTGGGGAAGGAAGACGATATCCTAAGAAGATGACAGAGTCTAGGTTCAATTGTTCAGAGTACACATACACATAGGTGATGCCTCTAGCATGAAACTCCCTCTGGGCTGTAAACCCACTTTATGCCCTATTGAAGTCCAGTTTTGGCTGGACTTTGACTGGACTTTGTTAACATTACAAAGATATTACTAGTTGCTTTGGAAACAGTGTTGAAGTCCTAACCCCATGTCATGAGCTTCAGATAAGAGCCCAAAAGGATTTGATTTGCAGGAACTCTGGCAAATTCTAAGCCAACTCAGCCCCAGCAAAAAAATAAAAACAGCTATTCCATATCTGTCCATGAGGACAAGCCAACCCACTGCTGCCCCACTTCCAAAGCTCTTGCATGAGGAAAAACAAAAATTCTACAAATGGATTTATGTCATGCAAAGCAGTGCAGAATCTGAAATGAATTTCCAGCATCATGGCTCCTTCTGGGCAGCTTCATAATGGGAAATGCTCCACCAGATCTGTGGTGACCTCCTTGTCCATGCATGTTGCTGTGTTACCTGCTGTATGGATTCACCACTAACAGTGACTTGCAGCACTCACTAAGCAATATTACCAAGTTTTCATGTAGATGCCAGGGCCATACCATGCCAATAAAGTCGTGTGGGACTAGATGGAGTAGGAGCAAATACCCTCTGAATGTAGTTGGTGGATTGCTGATATTTAAGGAAACAAATGAAATGAACCATGCAGTAAAACAGGTGTGCAATACTGAATGAAGCTAAGAGGTTTGGGCTGCATGAAATAAGCTTCAGTCGACTAGTTTCCAACACCAAAAGTTGTGGTCTTGGCATGTGATGGTGAGTTCTCATCAGTCACCTGCTTTTTTAATGGAGGAGGCTCTCGAAACCATTCAAAAGTAAACTAGGAGCAGCAATTTCAATTAAGGATACCTATAATTTGAAGCAATTATTTATTATCACATAATGTCATAATCACATTTTATAGAAATAAACAGAATCACAACAATCTGCTCTGTTGCTAATCCACCCTAGCCCCAGTATATGTTTTTGAGAGACCAGCATATGTGTGCTGACAAAAATCTGTTGCACAAGACACTGGCTCAGCCTGACCTTAAAGCATGTTTTCCTCTGACCTGCAGTATTTCTAGGGGAGGTGAGAGACTTCACCACAATTAAAAAGCCACCTTAAAGTACTCAATGTAAAAGGCACTGATGGATTCATTAGGCTTGCCCATTTTACAAAGGAAAGTAATTTTAACTTAGCAGTTTTCTTCTTTCTCTCCCCCTACCTGCAGGTAAACAGCCTGGCAGGATTTATTTTTCCTACTATCGAACACTTGTGGCCATTTGGATTCTTTTTGGCCTTGCCTGGATTGCTCTCCTATTTAATTTATTGACAACAGTTCTAGAAGATACTGAAAAAATAATTGTCAAGGATCTCCATCAAATTGTAAAGGTGAGTAAGGACAATGAAGAAAGCCAACCAAGAAGATGTTGGCCTGCTCATTTTTTACCAGAAGAAGAAGTAATACCACCATGTGCTGGAGGTGATGCACAGAAAATGGAGTCATTAGCAGCATGTTCTGAACAAACAAAAAAATAAGAACAATGTTTTTTACTTATAGCCAAAATTACTGCCATAACATATGGAGATTGAAGTCTTCGGTGGAAAATTGCTGGTGTGTCATTCTAAAGAAATACCCATGGAAATAAAATTTCTCATACCTTTTGCTGAAATGTGACCTTTCCAAACCAAAGACTTATAGTTACACAGACACACAGTATTAATGGTAAGAAATTTGCTCTTCAGTTTGCAGCCGTATTGTGCTAAAACGTGACAAGTACTCTCATTTTGCAAAGCTTTTTTAAGGTACCTTCATAAAAATGCAGAGGAGGGTCATGGCAGAGCTCGCTGTTTGTGTTTGGATTTTTCTGCTTGCAAAAACCACGTCTCTTCCAGGAACTGAAATGCACAAGCTTTTCTGAGTCACTGCATAGCACTATGTTGGAAGAAGAAATACAAGCAAATAACTGAATAGGTGCCTGAATTGAACCATGATATTGGATAAACTGAAATGATCTGAAAAACATGTTTGAAGGACAAGACCTGGGCTCAGTTCAGAGACACTAGAGGCATCTAATGAACAGGGTTAGAAAAAGGTTAGCTGTGTTAGCAATTATTAATTCTACCTCTTCCTGTTTTATATGAAGATGAATAAAGATGATTCCAACTTCTGTCTCCATGGCTTTGAAAAACTTTTCTGATAGCATTTATAAAGAAATATATATTCACATTTTAAAGTTATTTCATTTTATAAGGATTTTACAAGATCAGAAAGTGGTTTGAATGGAGCAGCAGAGCTTTGCTGCTGCTATGTTTTTATGCCATAGCTCCTATAATGTCATTTAAAAACAATCTTATTTTGCTGTGCTTAAGTAGCTTTCCAAGTGCAACCATTGTCTAAACAATGCATCCTTACCTTCCACCAGGCACAAAACGTCAAATTTGAGCATGGTTTTTCAGATGTACCTCCTGGCATACAGGCTATCCCTGGGTGAAGACCCTGGCCTTTAGAGGATTGATCTACACTTCAGGTGCCTTGTGTGTGTCAAGAGTACAGAAAAAAAACATACTGAATTGCTTGCAAAGCTGCTGTGGTACCACAGAGGTGAAGAGTCTCGTGGATGTATATGGTTCCAATGAAAGTCATTCCTGTTTGTGGCCATGCCTTTTAGCACATCCTTCAAAGGAAGGTAAAGCAGGCAGCTCGGCCATCCTCTGGCCCCAGAAGTGCAATCTCTCTTCCAGGAGCTGATGCAAGAGGAGGGGTCTCTGTACTTCAAAGTCCAGGAACCTGCCCAAATCCTGAACTCACATCACAACCCTCAGGACCCTCCCAAGGCAGTCCCTAGGTTCAGTATACGAAGTGTCTCCTTTTGTCAGTGTTGAACCTGTGGCTTGACAGGTTTTCGTGATACCCTCGAGTTTCTGTTTTGTCAGACAGTGAATAATTGTTCTCGGCTCACCCTCCGGGTGTTAGTTACAGCAAAACCAACCCTTGCCAAAGCTATTCTTGTACAAAAGGGAGAATAAATTACAGCTGTAAAGCAATTTTAGGCCATAAAGATGCAATCAGCCTTGAAGTTGAACTCATAACTTCTTCAGTCAAACAAAACCACACTTCTTGCCAAAACAGATCCGCTGGTTCAAGACCTGGCATGTAGACCTGACCAAATATGTACTTTCTTTCCCTCCACAAATTATTTCCCAGTGTTGCCCTCAAGGCTAACTTCTCATCTAACATCTCTCTTTCTCAGGAAGCCTTTCTGAGGCAGCAGGAACAAGAACCACATGAAATCGGGACAGGGTGGCATGGGTGTCACACCACACAGCAGCTCCTGTGCAAGCTGTGACCTTGTTGCTATCATAGGGTGACACCAGAGCTGGGGGGAGAAAGCAAGCAGATGCTCCCAGGCAGGGATCTTGTCACCTATCTGCAATCACCTCTCACCAAGCCTTGCCTCACATAGCTGCTTTTTTTTTTTTTTTTTTTTTTTTTTTTTTTTTTTTTTTTTTTTTTTTTTTTCTGCTGTCTTTTCCCAGCCGTTCCCATGAGGACCATTAACCCCAACTTAACAGGGATACCATGAGGGCTGGTTTAGAGAGATGTGGTCCTGCCTTGAGCTATGATGGCCTCTCATAGTGCCTTCCAGGACAGCTCCTGGTGTTTGATATCCCCAACCCCAAGGTGCCAGGTGAGGCCCATGGGCAAGCAACATGTCCATTTGCTGCCTCTGTTGCTGGGGAGAAAGAAGGGCAGTGAGAGAACCATACCCCAAGAAGCATCTTGAAGTCAACAAACTTCTGAAGGGTTTTCTTCAGCTTTTTCTCACTGTCCTGCTTGCTCCCTGTCATAACAAATAACACAAGCAACCCTGAAACAAGCTGGTGATGTCCTGCAATGCGGAGCAATCAAGGATGCTTGCTTAGGGAATTCAGGAAGGGCCAGAGCACACTCATGAGGGCCAGGGGATGTGGAAAACACGAGCTAGGCACTGCCATCGTGGCGCTGGCCTCCTTCAGACACCATGCACTGAGGTGTCTCTTCACCTGTGGATGCGGGCCTGCATATGGCTAAAGCACAGCCACAGGCATGAAAATCACAGAGTATCTCTGGAGATACTCAGATGGCCTATTCAGATATCTGAATTTCTCGGGAGATACTCAGATGGCATCCCTAAGAAAGCAGGCTGGCTGTTCTTAAATCCCCGTAGCTGCAGCGAGGCATGTTGAGGAGGGGGTCTCAGCTTTGCTTCTTGTGCCCTCTCGTGGCTGTGTGCCACAGACCCTTTTCCTCTGTATTTCTGCCGGTTTCGGGCAGTTTTATTCCTCCTCCTCCTCTGCAGTCTAGCTGGCACCACTGGGGCAGCCCTGGCCAGTGCAAGTTCCAGGGCTTGGTCAGTGCAAGCCTCAGGAAACCATCCTGCATGTGATATGGTTCCTGAGCTCACTAGGGACTAACACATGCTTGGCCTCAAAAGAGAAGCAGGGATGTGCAACCTGAGCCGTTTTGGCTGGTGTTCCTGCCTTGTACTCACACTGACACAGCTTGACAGGGGTCGGCGGGGGATGTGACAGGTTTCTGTCAGCAGGGCAGGCACCCTCACACACGCCTGACACATCGGCTCCCACCACACACATTCGCTGCAGGCCCAGCGCACCCATTCATTCCCCTGTCCCATAGAGAAAGGGATTAGTCCAGTACAAACCAGCAAAGGTGAAGGTGCTGGTGTCAGCATGGGGGCCGGGACGTGCTGGCCTGTTCTGCAGCAGGCCTGGGGGCTGGCCAGAGTGCCCCAGAAGGGGTAGAGGAAGAAACTGCAGATAGAAGGAGAAGGAAACAGCACCAAAGGGTGCGTGATCCTCTCTGCTGGAGAAGGAGAGAAGTCCAGGAAATCTGCAAGCCAGGGTGGGAGAAGAACGTTTTTGGATGTGATACTGTTCCTCATGTTTATGTTGAACAATAAAGTTGTCTCCAGAAGAGCTTAGCCACGGCAACAAGTCTCTCTGGGCTGGAGCAAGCAGCCTTTTTCAGCATTATCATCCATCCTCTGAGCACTGCACAACCACAGCAAATCTTGTCCTCACATCACCCTTAAATGAGGGAGCTGTTGCTTTCTGTGCATATAGCAAGGGGCCCAGAGAAAATTAAGTGTATCACCTCAGTTCAGGCAGAAAGCCTTTGGCCGACACCTGGTCTGGTGCTCTCTCAACCAGAATCAAGTGTCCTAGTATTGCTTATTAATAAAATAGACCTAGGCAGTGGTCCTGTAGTTGCTGAGGTTAAGTAAGATAATCCTGAACTGAGAGCAAAGCTAGAACAGAGCTTCTCCTCCAAAGCCAGAGATTCAAAATGATCCCGAGACTTTTAATTCAGGAGTGTAAGCCAAGCTCTGGCTCTTCCGCACGTTCCCCTCGCCCAAGGCACAGAAAACAGGAGTCAAACCCAGCCTGAGCTCTCTGCTGTGCCAGCAGCGACCCTCTGGAGGGACTTCTCTATCGGAGCTTGGAGCCTTTCCCAGGAGCTGTTGAAAAGCCCTCGCTGCCACCCAGCCCCGCTGTGCCGCGTGGGGAAACCCAGTTTGCACGGAGCAGCCTCCACCACAACCGCCAGCTCTCCCACTGCAGCTTGTTTACAAAGCGGGAACGCTTCCAAGGCAGGCCAAACTCTTTCCCATACGTTTAACCAGTTGCTGGAAAACTCCAGGAGTAGGATCATGAAATATATTATCTTGGATTAAACAGCAGCAGCAGCATGTTACTGCATTACCGTGCAGGCTGGGCTGCTCCTCATACATCACCCACGGCTTTGCTGCCAGCTAGCAAACAGTACGCATTTCTGCACTCGAAACCAAGGAAATGCCACGAGAAACGATCTTTCTTTCAGAAACAAGCCCCTGAGAAATTCATTTGCTTCTAGAGAGAATCAGAGAAACTGCACTTTGATCTGTCTTTAATTAGTATATGGGATTGTTTAGGGAACTTCTGAGGTCTCCTTCAATTAATAGCTGGTTCATTTGGAGAGATTAATTTTATTTTATCTTTTTTTTCTGGAAGCAGAAAGACTACCCAAAGCAATGGAACAGCTTGGCTAATGTAACATCATATAGCCAGTGGGATCATTTTTTTACAGAAATTACTAAACTTGGGCCACACACACGCAATTTTCCACTCCGTCATACTTGGAGATGTGCGTTCTCGCCTGACTCAAGCCCAAAAGGCTCTGCATCCAGCTCAGAACTGGTTCAACAAACATAACTCATCACTCTCCAGAGGCCTGTTCTCCATCCCTCTCAGTCTCACCCAAAGAAACAAAAAAATCAGATTTTTGGCATCAGCCAAATCCCTTTGTACCATTCCAACTGGATTCAAAGTGGCCTTGTAGATGTCCTGCAAGATTTTATACCAGCCCTAACGCTGTAAGGGAAGGGGAACCCTGTGATCCCCTACACCTATGGTGGAGGGCTGGCCTGGGGCAACATTGCTTGTTCAACGCTAGCAAAGTCAAAATTTAGTTATTTTGGGGGTAACAAGTTTGGTGGATAACCAGAGTGTCTGTCCATGCCCTTGCCTCCCAGCAGCCAACCTCACATTCACCTTGGGACATGAACTCAAACAGTGCCAAAGCTGCTCAGAAAATCCAGCCATTTTTATCACGAGGCATTCTGGACTTGATTAGAGTAATTCTCCACCAGAGGTTTGGAAAGGCTTGTTTTGCTGAGTTAAAGTTAGAGCAATTATCGAATCCATTTAATTGCTGGTTCAACATGATTTAGAAGACATGTCTCCTGAATAAATACTTTCCCAATTTCTCTTTCAATTATTCTCACATATGTGGTTGGAAACCATAGCTGTACTTTTGTGGTGAGATGCTGAAGCATGAAATAATACATTCCCAGAAAGAGAGATATACTGATAAGCAGAAGGATAATAACAACAAGCATGCGTCATTGAAAAATGAAGGGAGGTACAGTTTACAATTTAAGTTAATGGCTTCCTTGAGAGGGATTAGCCAGAAAGACACATATTTTCAGAGAACAAATGTGGCTTGAGGTAAATCCAACTTCTTGAAGATGATTGTTTATCATAGCAAGGCACAGAGAAAATCATGCATCAAAACCGGAGAAGAACGTGTCAGAATTTTTGCTGAAAATCCCCCAGAATTCACCATTCCTATTCA